TGCTGTGGTTTTACATTTCCTCAATAAAATTAAAAAAATCAATTATCCCAGCCATTCATGCTCCAAAAGCATGTTTCCTCATTCATACAGATACATGAACAATATGCCCACTAAACAACTATGTTATGACTAAAGTATCTTCTGATTAAGATGGTGTTGCAGTCAGGCAAATATCAGTATTTCTGGTGCCCCCTATAATAATTGCCCTGTGCTATATTTGTTACTCTAATTACCATTACTGGAACCAGTGCTTATTTTGGGTTTTTTGTAATTTTTCCTAAAGAGTTATCAATTAAATGGCACCAGGAAACCTCTGCTAGCATCTCTTCTAACTAGGGCAATAGTTTTGACAGCTACAGTAAAAAGAGATGTTAGCTATTTCCTAGAGGTGAGAATAGCAGGGCTATTAAAGACACCATTAACACTGTAAGTACCAAAGTAGATACAACTAAGAGCAGAACATCTCATTTGGAAGTTTGCTGAAATCTACACTCAATTAACTAAAACTTGTTCTTCAAAAAAAAACAACCAGAATTTATAAAATCTCACTCTTGGTAGGTTTATATGCAATTGGGATTTCAGAGGGAAACTTGCACAAAGTTGTCCTTATGAAACTGAAAAGTACTGGTTTTGCCTGAAGACAGTCAGGTAAATACTGAGAGGATTTTCTGCATTCCAGCTTTTTTTCATACAACTCATAAGCCTCAGCCATTCCTTGTCAAATTTGCAAAGAAAAAAGAAATTTTACAGAAAGCCAATCTTCAAGAATACGATAAAAAAATCTCATAATATTTTGCTAATTATGTCAAAAAAAGTTCAAGAACACAATAAGATGTTCAACACAGCAACAAGTATTGTCTCAGAGAAGATGCTTCAATAATTTCATCAGGATTCCAGTCATCTTTGTTTTGATATTTGCAAATGGTTCTGATAAATCATTTCATAATTATGAAGCTGAAAAATGTCTTACCTATTGATGTTCCTGTTGAAGGAGAAGGATTTAAAAATGCATGTTTCTAGTATGTTTCATGTATCCAGGCTATTAAACTTCTTTATCTCTTGCTCTTAATTAAACATTTGTTTGTTATCTCTATCTCCATCTCCATTTCTATCTCTATGTCCTTGGCTACAGGGAAAGAATAAGAATTGCAGCTTCTTTTAAAATTCTTTACTTTTTCTTTCAATTTTCTTTTTCTAAATCTTTCCTTATTAATTATACTTATATTTTCACATGCAAGTACAGTGAAACTTAAATGTTTGTGAACCCTTGAGTATTTCTGCCTAAATATGACTTGTCCTCCACAAAAGTCCAAAAACTAGAGAACACAATTAAACAAACAAGTAAAAAACACTACATTTGCTCATTTAATTATTGAGCATATGATCCAAAGCTACAACTTTGTATGTAGCAAAAGTATGTCAATTAGATGTTTCAATCAAAGGATAATAATCAGGCGTGAATGTGACATATCCTGCCTTATTTAAAGAACAGAATTCTAGAAATTTACTGTCAAATTTGATCTTTACAACACATGCTTATGAAGGTATATTATAAATTGAACAAAAAAAAATCTGAGGAACTTTGAAAAAGAGTTACTGATGTTCACCATACTGGAAAACTATTTCCAATGAGTTTTGTCTTTATCAGATTGAGTAACAAATGGAGACAATTCAACAATTCAACAATTCATTGTTATCCTCTTCAGGAGTAGTCAATCAAACAAGGTCACACCAACAGTGAGATGTGTAATAAGAGATCTCAAACAACCCCAAGATAATGTCTAAGGAACCAAAGAACTGTCTTGTATTGGTGAATGACATTGTTCATGAGATGTAAGAGGAAAGCTATACTCTCCAAAAAGAACATTGCTGTAAATCTACAGACTGTGTGCCAAAGACCACACAGATAAGCGAGAAGTCTACTAAAATCATGTTCTGAGGATAGATGAAATCACCTTTTAACTTGAATGAAAAATACTCTATTCATTGAAAAACAAAACTGCATTCCAGTGTTAAGAACCTTATTCAATTTGTTAGCTTGCTTTATTGCCTCTCGACCAGGACAGCTTGCCATCATTGTCAGGTGATCTGTCCATGAACTGCATCTTGAGAAAGTGGGTGGTGCAGAAAGATAACAACCAAAAACACACATGAATGATATAAGAATGGTTCAATCGGAAGTTGATTTTGGACAAAGTTCTGACTTAAATCCTAGAGAAATGTTGTGGGAGGACCCAAAATAAATAGTTAATGCAAGGAAACCTACCAACATCCTTGAGTTGCAATTGTTATGTAAGGAGAAAAGGTCTAAAATTACTCCAAGACTTTGCGTAGGGCTGATCAACAGTCGCTAGAAACATGTAGTTGTGCTTATTGCTGGGCCATGTGTGGGGCACACCAGCAACTGAAAACAATTTTTGACACACAAATTATAGGTTTTGATCATTTTCCTCAATAAAATGAAAAAGTATAATGCTTTTGATTCATTTATTTAACTGTGTTTTTTATTTTAGGTCATTTTTATGCAGAAATATTGAACATTCAAAAGGGTTTACAAACTTTTAAGCACCACATTAGATCATGTAACACTGTATTAATGTTAACTTATTAATTTCTGTAGAAAATAGTTTATGTTGTTCAACACTTAACTACCACAAGGTGTGATTAAAAGCTTTTATTTTTAATTTTACCATTAATTTTTTTATAACTTTTATTTTTATCATTTTGGGAAAGGTATTTTGGTCTATATAGTTCATTTATATAATATGGATATAACAAGCATATGTTATATCTAATATAGCCTCTTTAGTAGTATAGAATATTAAGTACAGCTAGTCCTTGACTTACAACCATTTGTCTGGTGACCATTCAAAGTTACACCAGCACTGAAAAAAGTAACTTATGGTGGGTTTTCATATTTATAACAATTGTAACATTTGTCATGTGATAAAAATTCAGGTGCTTCACAACTGGTATGTATTTATGGCAGTTGCATTGTGCTGGGTTATGTATTTATCTTTTGTAATCTTCTAGACAACTTCTGACAAGCAAAGTTAATAGGGGAAGCCATTTTCACTTAACAGCTGCAGCGATTTGCTTAACAAATGTGGCAAAATGTCATTAAACGAGGCAAAATTCATTTAACAACTGCCTTGCTTACCAATGCAAATTTTGGACTCAATTGTGGTTATAAGTTGAGGACGATCTGTATCATCCAAATTTTAAAATATGGGAACTGAATCTGAGATGTTTTGCATGAGACCCATATTTTCTCTAAAGAAAAATTACTTTTATAAGAGACTTGGGGGAGAGATATATATATAAATGGCAATTCTAAACATACAAAACAGTTATCTTTTGACAAAGAAGCACTACTCAGAAGGAGTAAGTCTATGACTTACTCTTCTGAACTCTTAGGTTCTGCTAGACCAGTGTTTTTCAACCTTTTTTGTGCAAAGGCACACTTTTTTCATGAAAAAAATCACGAGGCACACCACCATTAGAAAATGTTTAAAAAATTTAACTCTGTGCCTATATTGACTATATATAAAGTAATTCGGGTGTTTTTCCCACGGCACACCTTATACTATGTCACGGCACACTAGTGTGCCGCGGCACAGTGGTTGAAAAACACTGTGCTAGACGGACGGTGTCCTAATTGCAGAGTTATGTAGTGAAACTGTAGCCCTCATTGCTATCTGGCTAAACTTCTGCAAAGGGCTCTATAAAGCCCTTTAAAGACTTAGGCCCTTAAAACTTACAGTTAATCCAGGATGCACTGTCCTGTGTGCTGATATTCAGTTTGGGGTCATATTACAACTGTGCTTCAGGCTCTGCACTAGCTCCCATCTGCCTTCTAGATACAATTTAAAATGATGATTTCGAGCCATGAAGTTGTTGTGGCCTAGCATCTGGGAATCTGCAGGATCAACTACTCAAGGTAAAATAGGCTTGATCATTTTGGGAAATTTTTCTTAAAGTCATTTTGAGGAAGTAAAGGCAACTAAGATTCAAAGCAATCTTCTCAAAAGCAGCCATAGATATTTCCAGTGTTGTTTTCTATTGTATATGCTGCTAAGAATTTGTTTTGATTGGATTTGTTTTTATAGATAAATAATTTCTATTAAAAAGTGTTGCTCAAAGTATTTAGTAATATCCAACCAATAAAGTTATATCTTCAAGATCCAGCCTGCACATTCTACAATACTTGCATGTCAGACAGCTTATTACTTCTAAATGTTATATCATTTGTAATGTTATTTATATCTTTCATGATAAGATGTAGGACAAGGCTATGTATTTGTGCATGCACATGAATGAATGCATATAATTCCCAAACAGCACACCCAATTTTTCAATATGGATCACAGGGTCATGAAGCTGCTTCAGGGGTCTATGCCAGTGGATTGGTATATAAATTTAATAATTAATTAAAAGGCATTTATAGATCTATGAAAATGACATTCTTCCCACAGACAAAAATATAAGTATCTTCTTCAAGTTGTCATGTAATAGTCTATTTGAAATGTCAGCATGCATTCCAGCAGAAAACATACTAAGCTAAGCTCAGGCAGAATTTAATTTTGGGTCAATTTGTCTTTGAATGTTTTAATTATTGTTCTATGACAGAAAATACAGTGCTCCAATGGTGTCTGAAACAGATCTATACTTATATATTACAGTGCTTACTAAGCAATATACTACTCAGATTTTCCTAATGATTACCAAACAATCATTTCCATTTTGGATATGTAATAAGTCATACAGTGTATGAAACATCCCTGCATATATTTTAGTTTATTACTATCCTAAACATTTGAAACCCATTAGTAAATCACAAATACTTCATTTGCTAGAACTGTTGCCAACAAGCATATGATAACATTGCCGACACTGTTGCCAACAAGCATGTGGTGATTTATAGCCAATTATATATTAGATATTTAAGGTAATATGCTATAAATAATACAGAAGTCATTTACTAGTGAATACTGACTTACCTTCAATCTTTTTTAAAGCTGACAGGCAAGTATCCCGGCTTGGAAACTCAAAGGGATTACTACAGGTCCTAATAGTATCACATTCGCATTTTCCATTGATTATATTGCAGCCTGTTATGAGGTTTTCATTGCAAGGCTCAAATCCAAGTAGCTGATCATCCCAGTTTTCATCTAAAAACCAAAATGAAACAACTATAATACTGGTAACTTATTGATTTGTTTTATTTAATTCTTTTTTTTTTTGCCAAATACTGTACCGAAGCATCTCAATACAAATATTAAACTTATTTTTAAAGCTCCTGTTACAAGATTCTATAACCGCATATCCCCAGTTCACATTATTATCACTGAACCACATTTAAAAAGAAATGTGAACTTGGACTTTTCCAATTAACATCAAAATTTGAAAACCCTAGGTGTCTTATTTAAAGAATGCATTCCTAGCACTTGTAACAGAATAGAAAATACAAAAACCCAAAACATTCTGGGGACTACTATATTATAAAGTGTAGCAATCAAATAATCTCAACTGAATAAGAAGTTGCTATCATTCCAGATGTTTGATAATCCCATCTGATAAGAGTCCCTGTGAAAGAGGTCTATATGGTTTAACACAGCTGTTTTCAAGAAACTGCTATCGTTTCAACCAACCTATGATGCAATAAGCCAGCAATCATTTTCTGACATTCTTCCCTCCAGGTAAATTAAGATAGATAATAAATTTGAATGAGCCACCTCAGTTATGGACCATGAAGCAATATTAGCTGCTCATTCATTTGAATTCCCCATCTAGTGTTGATATAATATTTTCCCAGTGATCCCTCAAATCAGAGCTGAAAAGAAATCTTACATGCAATATGGAGTTACTTTTACAAAAGGCATCTGTACCAGGATTAGAAGCCACCATAATATTCATTAAAACTAGTTACGCTATCTCAACTATACACATACAAGAACATGATATAGAAAAGCAGCCCTAAGTAGCCCATCTCTACATCCGATCCTTGTTTAACTATCACGATTGGGGCTGGCGACTTGGTCATTGAGTAAAGGGGTCACTAAGTGAAAGAGCTACTGTTCATGATCTTACTTTAATGTTCATTGCTTTACAGACTTGCAAAGGTCTTAAATGCGAGGACTGATTGCAAATTTACTTTTTCATTACCATTTTAACTATGAATGGTCATGAAAAAACTATATATGTAAGATTACAGCAATTACAAAGGCAAGCTCCCTACGTGACAATGAGTCAATGACCCTGTCTTAGCCCAACCTATGTTATAGGACTATGGCGGGGGGGGGGGAATAAGAGGGAGCTTTATGTATGACACCAAATGTAAAGCAAAATATAAATCAAATAAGTAGATAAATGGTATAAGTCACATGTACCACAAACCATATACAAAGATGGGCAGGGTTGCAAAACTGAGAAGATTTCAATTCAGCAATTTGACTTTGGAAACAGCCCAATTTAATTGTGGTTAAACCAGGTAGGTCTTGATACAATTTGAAAAACAAACTCAAGCGAGAGCTAGAAACTCATACGTTACTAATTCTCATTTGCTACTGTAGGAAACGAACAAAGGTATGTCCTTTTTCCTTCTGTGGATTGGATACAATCCACAGAATCAATACTCTTTTGGAGGATAAGGTGCTTTCCTCTCTTCAGAAGAATAAGTAGAAGGATTGGGAAATTTAAATTAGAATAAAAAAAAACAACTCCATAGTTTTGTCTGTGGATTTAAGTAGTTGATTCTTCAGAAATAACTACCTAAAGGCATGAAGTCTATGCAAATTCAGACAGTCACATTTTTTAATGCAGAGGAAAGCATTATTTGGGTAGATAGTTGAAAATAAAAATTCAGTAATTCTCTAATGTTTGTTTGTTTGTTTGTTGGATTTATATGCTGCCCTTCTCCCAAAGGACTCAGGGCGGCATACAACATTAAAAAAAACACATATTACAAAAGTTAAAAAGGAAATTAGATAGAATATCCAAAAACAAACAGTTCACCGACAAATGCACGATAGACATATGCGCGCCGACAAAACCGCAACGGACAAATGAGTGCCGTCAAAATCGCTAATTGATTTTTGACAATAGCGCGCCAACAAAATCGCGTCATCAACAAACTATAGACAGTCCAGTGAGTGTGCTGGGCCTTTAACATAGTGGGACGCATATACGTACATTATAAGGTACGTTATAATGCAGTCAGCACACACCAGTTGAATAATACGTTTTAGTTATACTGAAGCCATGGATATTATTAAGTCACAGAAAGAAAAACAACAACTAAATCAAGATGGATCATCTTTTTGTGCTTGTCATCGCGCTTTTGTTGTCACGCTTTTATTGTCATGAATTTGTCAGCGCGATTTTGATGTCGCGTTTTAATCGGCGCTATTTTGTCAACACGCATATGTCTATCGCGCGAAACAAACCCATAGGATACTCATATGATATCTGCCAAATCAGCAGGAAACTGCAAAATTATAGCATAATATGTGCATGGGGGTTTGTGCTACCTATCATCAACTTTGATTTTAAAGTGGGCGTGAGAACACTATGGCATAGTTTTGCAAACTCAAACTCTATAGTTAGTTATATGTGAAATTTCTACTGCCTTGCTGAAGCTGATGGACAAGTACATGTTGCATATGGTGTCGGTTATTAACTTATCTACTGCAGAGATTCACTTAAAAACTATGACAAGAAAAATTGTAAAATAAGGCAAAACTCACTTAACAAATGTCTCACTTAATAGCAGAAATTTTGGGCTCAATTATGGTCATAAGTTGAGAACTATCTGTATAGGTCTGAACTGAGTGATCCCATAAGCCTAATGTAGCACCAGCTTCTTACCAATATAATAAGTGATATGTAATGGAATTCGAAAGAGCCATCCTGTGAACCCAAATTTGCTCTGTCTTTCTTTGGATCTTGCCTTTGTTTCTGGGAAGCCAGAGATTAAAAGCATAACTCATGCTCTAGTTTGCCTGAATATCCAGCTTCTAGGAGGATTGATGCTGCCTTTTAAGTACAGAAGAAGATGGGAGGTGAAGTACTGTCCTCTTAGGGATTCTGGGTGTCCATATCTAGTCTGCAATGTAGGCAAATTACATATATTTTTTATTATTAGTTTTATTTATTATTACATTTGCTTCTTGACCATCTTGCTTCAAAGCAGTAGATATATGTAAATCTACCACAATTTCAAAGTGATTGTAACAACATTTTGCATCTTCTGCATTGATCTAGAACTGCCTGAATTGTACATTTTTACTAACTTTCTAGCTGTAAAATCTGCTGAAAATTGTGTTTTCTCTTTTTACCCATAATATTGCCCCTTTTCCATACAAATTTCTAGAGCTGCAGATTAGGTCTTCCTACTGTGTCAGTTGCTTCAAGACAGAGAGTTCATCAGGTAATTCCAAATCTAAAATGATATGGCCTGCAAATGCCTTTTTCTTTTCCAGTCTCAGACATTTAATGTTAACTGCTCTCACCTAGATTCTCACTAAACTTCAAAATTAAAAGACAGGGCTTCCTTCCTCCTTAGCAAATGACAGTTCTGGCAGTTGGAGCATCCCTTTGGCCATGTGATCACCATTTGGGTGCTTGGCAACCAATGTCCCCAACAACCAAATTTAATTGGAAGCCAGCAGGGAAGTTCGCAAATGATGATCATGTTACTGCAGGGCACTGCAACCATTTTATAGTATGATCTGGTTGCCAAGCACGCAAAATATTAATCATATGGCCACATATGACAACTGCTCAAGGTTCAAGGACAGATTGTATTGTAACATTCTTTAAATAAACAGGACAGATTTAAGAAACAAAGTCAATGTTTGAAGGAGTGCTAAAAGAATAATGAATGGACTCTATTCTACATTCACGAAATTCCAATTTCCAATACTTTTGCCAGTTCTGCAACTGCAGAACTGATATCTTATAGATACTCGGGTATCGTTTTCAATGCTTCATGTAGTTGACATTCTCATTATCAGGCCCCCAAGTAAAAACCGAGAAAGCTTTGTCAGGAATAATAAAATTTTGGCATACAATATAGGTCAACATATCCTCCAATTCTTGGTTTAAAAAACAAACAAACAAGTTAGTTCCTTACTCTTCATAAATAGTAGAGTTATGGAAATTTCTACCTCTTTATAATATAAAATTATTTCAAATCAAACTCCACGGAATTATTTTAGGTATACCTAATGGTACTCCTACCCCCTTTCTTTATGCTGAAATTGGTAGACGCATAATTAAAGCTAGAAAATTGTAAGGACATTTAATTATAGGGCTAGACTTCTCTCACTGCCTATTGCCTTCTGGAGCAAATGAATTTTTTCACTCCTTCCTGCACTAATTGATTTACATTTTTATCCAATCATTTTAGGTTTCTCCAGAATTCTTTTTAAATTCAAGTAATGCTAATAATAATTTATTATTTAAAAAAGGATGCTCAAATTGTTTAAATTATCACACAAAATTAAGTGCTTATTGATATGCACTTAATAAAACCAAAATCAAATGCTATCATTATCTCAAATTTGTTACAGTGCCATTCTTTCGAGAGACATTTACAAGACTATAATCCAGTAAATTGCATCAACAAATAGAGAGGGGCAATTTCTCAATATCCTATATGAGCTTCCAATGCATATTCTACTTTCCTTATTCCAAAGATTTTACACATTATTTATTGTACTGCCCTATTTCCACATCAGAACGTAGAAAATTCTGGAGCTCCTCTTGATACAAAAATCATTTTGACATGATTCATGTTAAACTGAATATCTAATGAATTTAGATAAGGAAATAATACCATGAAAATTAGCAAGTTTTATATGGGCTGCTGTTAAATATAGAGAATATTTTATCAAAGGTTCCTAATATTTTTCTTCTACAATACTGTTTTAATATTTTTTACAGATTTTTGAACATATTAGTGCAGAGTTCCCCAACCTTTCTGGCAGAGGGCGTGGAGAGAAGCGATGGTTCAGCACAAACAACCGGCAAGAATGCGCAGCTCCATTTGTGTGAGTGGTGAGCTCACACACACACCAACCGTTTATGCAAATGGAGTGTGCATGAATGTGCTTGTTTGCTACTCACACAAGTGGGAATACATGTGTGCCCGCCATTTCTGCGGCCCGGTTGAAAACACCTCACGACCCATTAGTGGGCCTGGGTCAAGAAGTTGGGTACCCCTGTTTTAGTGTATTTTATTAATGTTTGTTCACTTCTGTGCAGGTTCTATATTATTTGTTAAGACCAGTGGTGAAAACAATAATTGATTAATTGATTGACTTAGCAAGTGCTTAAAAAACCAGATTAATTGTCCATAAACATTCTGAATATCCCAATTCAGATATAACCCCTTTTGATAAAATCCTGCTTCCAAAGAACCATGACCAGATGAATGTGGATGAAATACCAACACAAACCATTCAGTGCACTGAATAGTAGGCTTGTTTTGCAGTTGTTTTGATCTTGTCCAAAGTGATATAGAGGGAAGCATCAAAGTGGCCAAGAATATTGGCAGCTGCTGGACATCTAGGAGAGAAGGTGTGCGATTCAGGGGCAAGTGGGCTGCTAGAGTATGCTAGATGAAGAGACTGTAGCTGAATTGAGAAAGGAGAAGGAAAATAAGTTAGAAGAGTTTGTGGGATATACTGTGCTAAGAACTGCTTATGGGAAGATGGGAGAAGGTGGGTGATATGGTGATATACACAAACACTGCCTGGCTCAGCATTAATGTTATTGAATGATAACAAGTCTGCACTGCTGGTTTCATTTTTCTTAAATTGTTGCTAACCCAAAATGTTTTGTTGTTGTTTGATTGAGGACTTCACAATTCAGGAATTAAGCTGAATCAGGCGAATATTCCTAATTAAAGATTTTCTATAACTATATTTTCACACTGAAACTTTTGCAATATTTAAAATGAAGCCTTGTGTCTGTAATAAAATAACAAATGTGATGAAAATTAAATTGAACTGAATATATATGGTATTAATTAAAATTAGATTTACATTTGTTTTTCCAGATAGCTATCTCTAGGAAAAATAGTATTTAGGCATCCTAAAATAGGCATATATCTTCCTCCCAGTGAAAGATCTTAAATTATAAATATATAACAATAAATTTTAAGCAAAACTTCAGTGTTTTGTGAAACTATATTTCCCAGTATAATACTTTGCAATGAACTCTATTAAACGGAATGGAACTATAATTCTCACTTAACAGTAATTAGGACCAGAATTTCTATTGGTCAATATTGCTATCGATTCAGTGATAAAGGACAACATGAGGGTGAAGGGTTGTTCTCCAAGCTTGTGGGTTTGGTTTCCAAACATTTCGTTACCAGGCTAGGTAGTATCTTCAGCGGAGTTTAGTAGATCTTGGCAACACCACCGTGACTATACTGCTTAGCAACAGCAATTGTGGCAATCCCAAATTATCAATGTTATGCAAATCACTCGAGATCATTAAGTGAAAACTTCATGTAACTGTGACTTCTGACTTCCCATTAGCCTCCTCATTGACTTTGCCTGTGGGTATCTGGCAGAGAACATAACAAATTACAATCATATGACTGTAGCAATAAAAAGTAATTGGAACTTTGAGAACCTATTGTAAATACTTTTAGCACTGTCACAAATTCATAGGATTGCATAGGACTGTACTTTGAGCCACTTTGAAAATTGATTTCACTTCAACTATTTCTGTCTGCTGCATTTTTTCTATTGGCATCCAAAAGTAAGTAGATAAAATAATACTTTAAAAACTAAGTGCAAATCAAGCATGTTAAATCAAATTTCAAGCCATTTGGGTTAATGATTTTCCCATCAGAAAACTCATATCACTAGCTATATTTAAAAATTATTAAATTACATAGTAGGTTTAGCTTTTATTAGGTGGATATTTTTTAAGACAGAAAAATGACACTGGTCTTTTATCTGCTAATAGCAAGACAGGTAGGCTAAAAGAAAAAAAATCAGTTAAGCTTGTATCACTGGCTCTGTATCTTAATATGAAAAGATGAAATATGTTCAGCGATCTAATAGTGATTCTTGGAGCACTGAAGGGTCTTACGATAAAATAATGGCTATTACTATACTCTAATATTAGTCAATATGAGTAGTATTAAATTAATATCAATAAACAGTTTCAGAGAGAGAGCCGAGGTGCCGCAGTGGTTAAATGCAGCACTGCAGGCTACTTCAGCAGTTCGGCTGTTCAAATCTCACCGGCTCAGGGTTGACTCAGCCTTCCATCCTTC